CTAGCTTCTACTAGCAGAGACGTTCTCTGCTGTTTCCTGGATGCTAAACCAACAACAGCCTTCCTTGTCGTGAGTCAAGATGGGTGAGTCCATGAATGGTAATTGACAGTGTGACGTAGATATAAATAAGCAGAACGCTTTTTGCAAACATATGACGACACAGTCACTTAAAAAGCTCATAGAAACTGAAACAACTTAATAAATATCTTGGTTTTTATCATTCTTGTTTTGAACGGCAGCGCTGCTCTTTAACCTCGCCTGAAAGAGAAGGTCTTCACAGCTGCCAACCCAACAAAGAGCTCCTGAGGAGCACTGACTGGACTGAAATAACAGAGAAACTCAACACAGCAAGCCTGCTGACACACACACACACACACACACACACACACACACACACACACACACGCACACACGTCTATGCAGCAGAAAAGCGATTTCAAAGTCAGGAAAAAAATCCCCAACTGTTCGTCTCACACAGAAAAATGCAGACCATTTCACACAGAGCAGCAGTTTCTTCTTCACAAACACAACCAAAACAACAACATCCCTCTCACACACTAAACAGCTGCTGCTTTGTTCTCACTTCTCAATTATACTTCAGAAATAGATTTGTGCTTAAATGTGCAGACACACATACGGTCACCCAAACTTGACTAATCTGCGCTGAAGCTAAAATCCCCTCCATCTGCTTCCTCGCTTCAACTGAGTCTGAGCAGAAGTCCTCCAGCCCTGTTTTAGTTACAGGAAGAGCTTTTATTAGAACATCTAACCACTTTTTGAAATAAGTTCAATTTTATTTTCATTTTGATAATACCCAATTCATTTGTTCTGTATGGCAGACTCAGCTGGGACTCAGCTAAAACTAAACTTATGTATTGGAAACTGAATGTTGGCTATAATCTTAATTTTAGATGGCTCTTATGGGTCATGTTCGGGTGACTTTAAACAATCATCAATGAGAAAATCCCAGTGAAAATGAGATGGTACATCTACTGGGGTTATTTGTCTTTAAATAAATGTCAAAATCAATAATAAATAAACCAAAGACTGAATCAGACATAACGGCAAAAGCAAGTGCTGAAAGGAGAGGAGAATATAGACATTCTAGGTTTAACCCTAACTCTCTTCACCAAGAGTACACACAGCAGGCTCCCCTAGGCCATTATTCATTAAACAAGAAGTCAAAATGGAAAATAAGTGTGTAAAAATCAGTGTTCACCTCATGATCCAACACCTTGTAGAACGTATTTAGTTTGAAGATTTCCATCTTCACAGCTCTCTGAAGGTGCAACAGTGGACCATCAAAGCACCTTGGATCTGTTTTAGATCTGCAACTCTGTTCAGGATCATATGACCTTCAGCTGTCAGCCCAAACCATCAGCCCTCCACCACCGTGCGGACAGATTGTAACAGCCGTTTGTTTGTTTGTATTGGAATGTTTACTGTGTGAAGTGCCTTGAGACGACTCGTTGTGATTTGGTGCCATATAAACAAATGTGAATTGAATTGTTCTTAAAAAAATGTGTTTGATTTTTCTTCAAACATGACCATTATGGGTAAACATATTTTTATTAAGTCTCATCTGTTCAAACAACACTGTTCCAGAAGTCTTCTTGTTCACTCAGATTAAACAAACCAAAGGAGATTTTCTCCTGCAACCCTTCCAAAAAGCTTACCTGTTGAGTCTTCCTAACTGTCTAGTCCTGAACTTTAACCTTTATCCTGCTAACTCAGGCCCATTAGAGTCTGAGCTGAAGCGGTTTAACATCAAGGTGATGTTTACCAATGTTGTTTTTTCTTGTCATTGTGTTAACTCAAACCAAAACGCCGCCAATTTCACGAAGACAGACAGAAAACAAAGACATTGCTTAGTCAAGAGGTTCTAGGAGGATCTTGGAGAGGACTTGGATGTCCACAAAGCTTTTCAATATGTTCTTTGTTTGATAAAAAAAAACTGATTGAATATTCTGTGCATTTTTGCACACTCAAGGTTATATTTGAATAATTTTAGTAAGACCGGATCATTGAATCGTATCCTGTTGGGTTAAACGGAAAGAAGGTGGCCTTAAATACATCTCGTGCCCTCTACATTAAAGACAGTGTTATTGTGTGAATGATTCTGAAAATATCAACCCTGAAAATCTATGAAAAACACTAATGAGCCAAATATCAGTCAAACAAGCCAACATAATTGGAATAGGTAATGTGTTCAGCTAACCTTCATCCAGTTTGTAGCTTGTTATCTGCTATGAGCAACGCAAGATGAATGACTCACCCAGACTACAATACGTGGATGTATTTATCTCATAGAACTCACATATTTTCCTCCAATTTTTGATCTTATATGAATCGCGATGAGCTCATTATTTATATCAGCTGCTTGGAATTTGCCCATCCATAACAGGACCTGTGTTGGCAAGCATGAAAGGAAGGGAAGACAGAAAAGCAATAAAACGGAGAGACAGATGATGCGGATGAAACAGGAAATTTGCTCTCCACAGCCCAACACAAGTCAAACAACATCAGTGTGTGTTTGGAAGTCACTGGAATCTGTGGGGAAAAGGAAGCTAATGCAAACAATGCAGTGAAGATCTCAAGAGACAAATAACAATAAGCAGCTCAAAAAAAATGTAAAGACGACAGAGAATCAGGTGATTTGAGAGAAATAATGACGTGGACACTTTACAAAGATGGGAACAGAACAAAAATAATTATGAAGAAAAGGGATGGTGGTAGTAATAATAATAATGCATTGAACTTATATAGCACTTTTCTAGACACCCAAAGACGCTTTCACACACTCTCACATTCACACACTGCTAGTGATGGTAAGCTACTTGTAGCCACAGCCACCCTGGGGAGGTCTGACTGAGGCGAGGCTGCCATTTGGCGCCGTCGGCCCCTCTGACCACCACTAACACAGGCAAGTTGGGTGAAGTGTCTTGCCCAAGGACACAACAGCAGGAAACCCCTGGCGGGAGCTGGAATTGACCCCATGACCCTCCGATCATGAGACAACCCGCTCTAACACCTGAGCTACTGCTGCCCCCAGTAAACTTACAAGCATCCTTCTAACTCAGGTTATTTACAATAAGCCTTAGAATTACGCACAGCAGACAGCGTACAGATATTTTTGTTTTGGCTACTTGCCAAACTGCTTAATACCTCTCATCCTTTAAGTGATGGACCCTTATTTTTCTTAGCATTGCCTTTTGTAAAACAAAGTGATCCTCTTGTATCGCAGCCACCTAAGACTGGAACAAAAGAAGCTGAATCTCAATCCTTGGACCAGTTAGTAATTATAAAAGGGATGTGTATGGGCAGGCATGACTTCTACTAGAAAATGATCAATGATCTTTCACAAGTCAGATGTCCCAGATGTTGGAGAAAATGGTGGAAAATGAGTAGAGAAGAGTGGCAGAAAAGAAAGAAGGGAAGCTTTCTGGTTAAAAAGGAAAAGGCCACTGGAACACAGAGCGGAGGATGAATCCCATTAGGTGGAGAAAGGTCTGTGTGGGTGCCCTCAATGCTGCCGTTAGGCACCCTTCACACTGGATGAAGACCCTGCTAAGATGTGAAAAAAATGTCAAGTCTTCTAACCAGGTCCATTTGATTTTCAACTCGATATGAGTGAATTTACAATTCCAGGTCGGAGGAGGAGGTCCTTCCTTGGGTTTAGGAGCGGAAACATCTCAGGGTCTTGTTCGCATTTGAAAGAAGGACAGATTAAAAGCCAGATCGAGGCAGTGACTGCTCTGATACAAGTGCTAAACTGGCCTGGTGAGGAGAAGAGGGAGCTACTCTCCAGCCCTTACCATGGGTAAGTACTGAAACCACAACATGGTGAAAGCAGGTGACAGAAATGTATTTCATCCACAGGGTGGCCGAACGCAGCCCGTCAAGGGGGAGTGGGGTTGTAGACCATCATCATCATCATCATCCTTTTTTTTCTATAGCACTTCCCATCATCCAAGAGGTGAACCAAAGTGCTGCACACGTATAAAAAGTTTAAAACAACACATGGCCAACAATAAAGTATACATAAAAACAAACAAAAACTGGAAACTAAAGCAAAGAATGTCGGTAAGAAACAAGATAAAATAAGAAAAGTACAACTGGATAAAAATTAGCTAAGTTGTCTAAAATTGTCTAAAAATATAGCTAACTCATGTGCTGAGGGAACGCCACCATGTAAAAGTGAGTCTTCACCCGACTCTTAAAAACCGGCAGTGAGGGCGCTTGTCTGACCGTTGAGTGGAAGGTCATTTCACAGCTTGGGGGCCAAAACTGAGAAAGACCTACCTCCTCTAGTCGAGCGGGTGAGTAGCTGAGACCGATAGCCAGGAGCACTGCCCTGCAGACACTTAAAAGCAGAAACAAGTATGTTGAACCTGGCCCTGAAAGACACAGGAAACCAGTGCAGATTGGCCAAAATGGGAGTGATGTGTTCCTGCTTTCTGGTGCCGGTCAGGAATCTAGCAGCAGCATTGTCAGCAAGCTGGAGCCGAGCAAGTGCAGCCTTGCTAACTCCAGAGTAAAAGGAGTTGCAATAATCGAGCCCAGAAGTAATAAAAGCATGGACTACAGTCTCTAGGTGGGCTTTCGACACTAGCGGCTTGATCCTGGATAGGCGATGAAGATTGAAAAAGCAAGAGTGTACCACTCCATGTGAGTTTCTATGAAATCCATAAAGCACATAAAGTTGAAACAAAGCCACACATGTGCTTGATGCATCTGCAACAAAAATGATTTTAATTGGTTTTCAGCTGAGAAAAAATACTTTCTATAAATTATTTTTGTGCTTGACATTATTCAGCATTGTGATTTAAAAACTCCCTAATTAGCACTTTGGCTGACAGATGCTCTGGCACAAACAATTACAGCAAACACACCTTTTAGGAAGCTTGCACAAGCTTAAAGCTTTAGCACTGCATTGCCTGAGCTCATGAGTATAAACCAGACACAGAGGGCCAGACGTCTGACAGACAGCATGAACTCACCTTGTTTCCTATTGCTTTCTTGGGAGGAAAGCTGAAGGTGTCCACTTGGGGAAACTGGATTCTCAGGTGGTTGTGAAGCTCCCTGAACTCAGCGTAACGCCTGTACACATTCCACTCGTTATCCAGGATGCGAATATATACCTGAGGAAAGGCAGACACATCAGTGTGAACCTCACCGTACTTACTAGAAAAGCACTGAAGATGTTTCAAAAGGTGCTAACGATGCTACGGACCGAAATTCCAACACAAAGGTACCTTCTTCCATAAAGTCAAGCAGTGATTTAGAAGTTCATACATTGTGATGCATAAACTTTATGAGAAGTGTAAAGAGAACTGATGTATTTTTACATAGCCATGGTAAACACACACCTGTGTTTTTCACTACCAGATAAGACTCTTCTTGAGCTAAGGACACAGATTATCACACAACATGTTTGTAAGACATGTCCCTTCACTTCCAGTTCAGAAGAAAAAGTCTGAACTGGAACTGGGAGAGACTATTGGAGCTGCATAATGAGAGCGATCTACAGGTCACAAACATATAAAACATGAAAACTGCATTACTCGATTTACTAGAATGAGCGTAGCCATGAAGAGTTTCTTTGCAAAAATCTGCATCCATCATCATCATTATCTTCACTTATTAAGCACTATCCAAACTAAACCAAATGTATTTATATGGCACATCTAAAAACAGCATGACAGCTGACCAAAGTGCTTCACAAAGGAGCATGAATGCTCCGTAAATGTATAACAAACAACGATGATTCGCAATGTGAGGATCCTAAGATGAAATACATGTAAAAAGATAAAACTCCTCCTTAACTCCTAACACTTTCAACAATTAACTCGTTCACTGCCTATGCCAACTAAAGTCTTCATTTTAAATTCAACCGCATGTTTTACTGTGTGGGTGTCGGAACGAGCCCCTGTTTGAGAACAAACGTCCCAGCTCTAAAGCGGATCTGAATCTGCGTGCGTCACACGTCACGTGATCAGGAAGCAGAAAATCCATGTGTTAGGAGATCGTTTTGGGCTGCTGCTGTAAAAAAAAGTGAGGCACGAGCCGGTTAAGCTTCTGCCGATCACAATTCAACAACGGATTATGAAAGAACGGATAAAGCTCGAAACGCACTGATTCTTCTTGATGTAAGAGGTGACTCTTCTCTTTGTTTTGGTAGTTTTAGCATTGACATCATCATAGAGTGCAACATTCTGTGACTTAAAAAAAACTGAAAACGCAGGAAAAACGCTGGAGGCGAACGGCTTTTCTGATCAGGAAACGACTGGCAGTGAATGAGTTAAACTCTCATTAAAACACAATGCAAATTATTGTTAAAATTAAATCAAGAGAATACAGCAAACAGGTTAAGAGCAGCGTTTAAGAAAACTTTTGATCCGCACCTGCCAAACTGGCAAATGTTAGGGTCTCACGAAGGACGTTTTTGAACCACGTAGGACAAAGTCTTTGTGGGCTTCAGATTTGTAACTGTTTAACAGTGGGTATTTTAGTGACCTCTGATCTTTACATATTTAATTTTTTTTTATCGTGACAATAATCTGTTCTTGAATAAAGAACCATCAATGTGATTTTCTGAAAAACTCAGAAAATGAGGATTAGATAGTCCTGCTTAGAAATAAACCTACAGAATTTATCAGGAAATTATTAGAGATCATCATACAACTATTAAAAATTTGTATAAAACACCAGAAACAACAGAATACATGTGAAAGTGTTTTAAACATTGTAATAGTGCATTAGGTTTATTGTGAGTGATGTAGCCTAATGTTACTGTTCCTTTAAGATGCTGAAGAGTGAAACTGAAAGTTGGAGATGCTGTTTGTTAAACTAGTCTAATAAACTGCTGTTGAGGACAAAAATGTCATTTTGTCTGACGTTTTAGTTCAGCACAAATATCACAATAATACGAAATGACCTCGCGTTTGTAATACAGCTGTTTAAAGCTTCTGGTGCGCCGAGCACCATGCGCAGATCTATTACAATGATCGGAAGAAACGCTCCTGCAGGCAGCTGCCGCAGAGACAATCATGAATGGATTATTGAAAAAATGTCAGTGTCACGGAATCAGAGCAAATTATCAACAGTCAATTTGTGGTTTTCAGGAGGTTCATTTTATTTTGGCAAGATCTGACAAGAGGCCCGTTGGTCATTTTGTCCGACGATTTTACGTTTTTTGCCGGAAAATATTAAAACACGTCGGTAATGTCCGACGTGTTTTCGCAAACACTGCTTAAGTTAAGAGACATCAAATAATAAAAAGATCTCTAAAAAAGAATGAAATGATAAGAAAATCTCACTATGAGTAAAAATCAAATGAGTAAAAGTGAGTTTTCACATGCTTCCTAAAGAGCTGGAGAGATGTAGCTTGTCTGACAATCAACGAGATAGCATTCCATCGCTTAAGACGCCAGGAACAGGAGGCCCGGTACATTCTGGATACACACCATCTTCTAGGAACAACCAACAAACCTTTGTCCGCTGATCTAAGAGAAAGAGATGGAAATTATGAAAGAACAAATATGAGGGAGTACAGTTATGATATGATCCCTTCTCCTTGTTCCAGTCAATAACCTTGCCACAGAGTTTTGGACCAACAGCAACCATGCATTAGGGGCCTGGCTAAGCCCTGCATAAAGGGAGTTGCAGTAGTCCATCTTACAGATAATAACGGCTTGTATAACCTTCCTCCAAATGCGGTCTTGATTATAACTGCTTAATTTTGCTAATGCTGCAAAGATGGAAGAAACGACTTAACTACATTTTTATGTGGCTATCCAGTTTTAGCACAGCATCCAGTTTAACCCAAGGTCAATCCCATGTGCTGTGCCACACTTGTCACAGGATCCACAAACTAATACTTCAGGATTTTCGTGATTGAGATGCAGAAAATGGCATGCCATCCAGGACTAAGTCAGTTCACCAATGGTTGAATCGAGTCAGATCAGTCAGTGTACCGATGGAACTCAACCTCATACTTCCTAAGAAGAGTTCTGTTTGTACAGCTCAAAAGCTGAGTGTGCGACATCAACACACTTTGTTGAATACCGAAAAATCTCCAAAACAACCATTCAGTCATGCCAAGAACAACTTTCTGTGATATGTTTAAACTTTGAGCAATGTTTCTTTTCTAGGTGAAGAGCTAGCTAGCTAAAAAGAGGGCTGAGTTTTTATCAAAATCCCATTGTTGCCATTGTATTATATTTGCTACACGAGTTTCTGAGACCTCTTCTCATCAACATGATCAAAATTTGCGTTAAAAACCTGTTGTAAATAATCTGATACATGTATTCTGCCCCCTACTGGATTAATATGCCACTACAGTTTAGATCATTCCCAGGAAGTGATCCACTCACCTTTACAGGAAAATCAGAAAAAAATGAACTTTGGGTAAAAATAACAACAAAATTCTACATAATTTTTCTAATAAAAATAAATACATTTGTAATTAAAAATGTAAGAAATGGGGAAGACAAAATTAAAAGGAAAGAGGGAAATCAGTGGATCCCGGAAAAGGCGGATTAGTAGAAAGAGCAGAATAAGGAGCGGGTGGTGATGAAGGTCACACCAAAGCCTGAATAAGTGAGGCATCAGCTGCTTTTTAAAGGAGACCACTGAGTCCACTGATCTCAGGCTCAGGGGGAGAGAGTTCCAGAGTCTGGGAGCCACAGCAGCAGATGATCTGTCACCTTTGGTCTTTAGCCTGGTGCTGCACAACCAGTAGGATTTGGTCACTGGACCTTAGGGACCTGCTGGGGGTGTAGGGACTGAGAAGATCACCAATATATGATGGTGCTTGTCCATGTAAGGCCCTATAGACCAGAACCAGGATATTGAAATGAACCCTGAAGTTGAGTGACAGCCAGTGAAGCAGGAGGAGAAGCGGGGTGATGTGGGTGTGTTTGGTGGACTTGGTCTGAAGCCGAGCACAGGCGTTCTGAACCACCTGTAGACGGTTCAGGGAGGTTCTGCTCAAACACGTGAAAAGCAAATTGTAGTAGTCTAAGCGTGAGGAGATGAAGGTGTGAAGAAAAGTCTCAAGTTCAGAGTGGGACAGAATGGGACTCAGCTTAATAATGCTCCTGAGATGGCAGAAGGAAGAGCGAACAAGAGAACAGACATGAGAATCTCAGTCTTATCTTCATTCAGCTGTAGAAAGCTCCCAGCCATCCAGGTTTTGATAGAGCCTAAGCAGGTGTGTAACAACTGCAGCTTAGACATCTCATGAGGCTTAAAGGAGATGTACAGTTGGATGTCATCTGCATAAAGATGGTAGGAGATTCCTTTAAGAGAGCTAAGGGTGTGCTGAAGAAGAAGCAGATAGAGGAGAAGAGTAGAGGCTCACTTTTCTTGAAAGAAAGGCATGTACTCTGTGAAAATCTGACCAAGCCATGCTGCTAATGGATAGGTAAGTAATTAATTATTTCACCAGGGCTGTTGTGTTTGGTCAGGCATAAAGATGTTATAAAGTCCTGATAAAACTTTATTCAATGCTGAAACGCCACTTGATGCATTTGTTTGGGCACGTGAGTTGGAAAACATCCAATAAACATGCCTCTTATGCACGACAGAAAGGTTTGATTTTACAACAGTGACATCACACAGCAAGCCATGAGAGGGCGACAGAGAGCATATATCTGCAAAGTTCAGGAGTACGTCTTTAAAGGCACATCTGCCCATGGTAGATAAGTTAGCCTTTTTTAAGAGACATATGTCAGCTATAACTGCAATCCTGATCATTCCCATTTTGACAAGCAATCAAAGCAAGAACTTAATATTAAAACTAATAATGAAAATACAAATAAAAAACACCAGCTGATAGGTGCCATTGTTTTGGTTTCACTTTACATATTGGTCATCAGGCGCTTAACATCAACTGATCCTTACAAATGCATATCTTCTATATATTGTAACACACAACAGAAAGTGTGGACAGACAACTGTGCTGCTACCATTTCCATGCACCATTAGCTGCTTTATTCAGAGAATAAAGATGGAGGGATTGGAGAGAGGAGAGTTGAGCCTATTAGGAGAAAAAATAGATGGGGGAAAAAAGGGGAGTTGAGTTTTATGCTCACAGAAATGAAAACAGGCCACACAGCCAGAAAAAGGAGGAAGGAGA